CGGTGTGAGTGGTGGATGTGTGAGGAGTGTGTGGGGTGAACTGCGGTGTGAGTGGCGGATGTGTGAGGAGTGTGTGGGGTGAACTGCGGTGTGAGTGGCGGATGTGTGAGGAGTGTGTGAGGTGAACTGCGGTGTGAGTGGCGAATGTGTGAGGAGTGTGTGGGGTGAACTGCAGTTGGTGTGAGTGGCGGATGTGTGAGGAGTGTGGGGTGAACTGCAGTTGGTGTGAGTGGCGGATGTGTGAGGAGTGTGTGGGGTGAACTGCGGTGTGAGTGTTGGATGTGTGAGGAGTGTGTGGGGTGAACTGTGGTGTGAGGGCGGATGTGTGGGGTGAGCCACGGTGTGAGTGTTGGATGTGTGAGGAGTGTGTGGGGTGAACTGCGGTGTGAGGGTGGATGTGTGGGGTGAGCCACAGTGTGAGTGGTGGATGTGTGAGGAGTGTGTGGGGTGAACAGTGTGAGGGCAGATGTGGGTACCCGGTGGATGCTTTCTTGCAGGAGGAGCTGGCCGCAGCTCTGCATGCTCAGCGGTGCCTGCTGGAGGAGGAGAAGAGCTCAGCTCTGGACGGGGTTGGCACCGAGGTCGTGCTTGTGGAGCGCCGGCACCAGGCGGCCCCGCAGGAGCTTGGAGACGTGCAGGTGGCTGAGGCGCAGACACCACAGGAGGAGGCTGTGCAGGTGAGTGGTTTGGTTCTGTTCTGATGTTCAGTGAGGCTCTTGGACCTTAGTGGCCTTGGGTGGAGCCTGGGGGCACGTGGCCTCACAGGTGCTGCTGGTTGTGGCTCTTCCCTGGGTGGCTCCTGGGGCTTCTTCCCCCTGTGCTTTTGGCAGACTGGGGTGTGCAAACTTGCTGGCTCCCTGGTTGAAGAGCAACGCAGTTGAGAGGCAGAGCTCTCTGAGTCCCCTCTCTTCAGTCTGTTGGCTGTGCTGGCCACCAAGTCCTGTGTGGACCCATTGCAAGTGTCCCCAGCCTCACATGGCTCTGCCCCCCAGCTCATCCCTTGTTCTGCAGGTGGCTTGGGCTCTTTCTGAGGGGCCTGGCTGCTCTGTTTGGGCTTTCTGTTTTAGGGACGGGGTGGAGGGGAGCGCCCTGCCCTTGTCAGGAGGGCTGTGTGGGAGGCACAGAGCGGGTGGGCCTCTGCCGGGAAGTGGGCTTGGGCTGGGCATGTGGCCTCAGGTCCCTCCCACCTGAGCCCTGGAGCTGACGGCTCAGTCACTCGCAGCAACATGCAGAGAGGCCTGTGCCCACCCTGTGAGGAGGAGCATCCGGGGCACCGCATGAGGGTCTTGGGACACCCCACTATGTCACCTCCCCCTTTGGGTCACCTGCCTGTGGTGAGCAGGTGGGATTCGGTAGGAGGAAGACCCTGGTAGGTCTGCGGTCGCGCCCAGTGGTCGTGGCCCTGCTCCCCACTGCCCAGGCCTGGCGCTTCTCATCCCCTCGTCTGCTCTCCCAGGACTTGCAGACTTACCACCACGCGCTTGAGGCGTTCCAGTTTTCCTGCCTGTTCTAGTATCTGTGATAGAAATGGCTGTAAGTGTTCTGAAACCGTGGTTAGGTTCCTTGACGTCCCGTGTCTGTTCTTGTATTTGGGCTGTCGTCTGAGCGCTCGGGGGAGTAAACGTTTCTCAGTGGTACAGCTTGGTCTGGGGCACGAAGCTTCCATTTTATGTCATCCCTTCAGTTTGCTACTGAAGATGTGGACCTGGAGCCTCCTCATGGGATGTGTGTCGTGTAGCTGGGTTTCACAGGAAAAAAACAGTTGGCTGGAGGGAGGTGGGATATGCTGCTTCTGCCTCAGATCTAACTTTTATTGTGGGAAATTTCAACATATACAGAAATGGAATCATTTAGTAACCCCACGTACCCCGACCCAGGCCCTGGGGTACATGCCAACTGGGTTCATCGAGGTCTTCCCTCCCCCAAATTATTTGGAAGCAAATCCCAGACAGCTTGTGTCTTCATCTACAGATTCTTCAGTGTATATCTCTACAAGGTAAGGTTTCTTTTGCCCCCAGTAAAATAGAGCGTAGCACTGTAACTTAAAAAATGAACAATGATTCCTTGTTTCCATCAAATATTCAGTCCAAGCACAAGTCTCATTCCAGTTGTGTTGTTCAAGTCGGGGTCCAGAGAAGGCTGTGTGGGTTTTTATCACCTCCTGCCCTCCAGAGCCCCAGGCTCGACCAGGTCAGGTTCCCTGTCTTTGGTGAGAACACCTCCTGGGTAGGAGCCCCTCAGGCTTGTCCTACAAAGAGATTTTACGTAAAAGCATGGGCTTGCTGTTTCCCAAGATGTCAGGATTATTGTCCCTAGAATAGCAGGGGACACGCCGTGACTTCTCTGCGGCCGTGACTTATCTGGGTCACAAATACCTCTGCACCTGTTTGGAAGGCAGTGCTGTTTGTCAAAAGGGTATTAACATGCGCGGTGCGGGGTCAGGTTACTTTCCAGTGTACCGCCCTTTGGAGTTGGGTTGTGAGAAAAGTTTTCTGAAAACAGAAGCGTGATTTCTTCCTGATGGAAATGTGCGTTTCATAAAGAGATCCGTCTCCGTGTTGGAGGCTCTGAGCACACTTCTGGTGTGCAGATGCAAACTGTGTGGTGCGGTCAGTGTCGATTACTCAGGATGGTTTCATCTTTTCTTGGTTAAAAAACAAATCCACTGACAGAATAATTTTTGAAAATATTAAGTGAACCTATGGTCAGTTCAGATATAGTTTGACTATCTTTAAATCATTATCAGTTGAATATATTTTCTTTCTCTGGTATCTTTTTATGCAATGCTGCTTGTTTTATGTCTGCTCTAGACATATCTATTAACTTTTCTTGATGGTTAAAGTATATGAGACATTCATCATGTAATTCTGTGGATTCTTAGAAAACCTGAAATAACTTTCGGAAAACATCTTTTCTTACATTGACCTCACCATTTGGAACATGGCACATGAAGCAGAGTTTTCCTCGAGGCCGGGAATAGAAGTGCTTGTCAGGGAAGGAGACCGCACCGGAGGGAGGGGCAGGCCGCCTGGCAAAGCCTTTGAGTGGCAGAGCCAGGTGGAGGGGCGACTCGGGCCTCTGTCAGGTGATTCCGAGTCTGCCTGCCCAGCGTCAGAGTGTCGCTGACGGTCTTTTTGTCCTTGGTGCTGCCCTGAGGACCTTTCCAAGGCCCTAGTCTAGCAGAGGGGACGCTGGGCAGGACAGTCCTGCAAGCGCCTGCACCCCGTCTGGGTGGAAAGTTAAAGCCCTTTGCCCTGGCTGCAGGCGCACACGTGATGACCCTTTACGTCTGTGTCTTTCCAAAAGAGGTGGTTGTGGGACCCATGAGACAAAGTGCTCTGGTACGTGTAGTGCACTGGGATCCTTCCTTGTAAAGGGATGGAGAGAGGATCTGTAAAAGTGATCTGTACTGATTCTGAACTGGTTTGTAGAACCTGAAAGTATAATTTTAATGTTGTGCCATTTGAGCCCCTGTTAAGATCCAGGTGAGAATTCAGAACCTACATGGTGCTTTCAGCAGGGCAAGTTAACCTTCTCCATGTGGTGTATTGCTTTGAAATTATATAGAATAAAAGTGATTTTCAGTATCAGGAAGTTTCTATGTATCAAGTGAAACAGTCGCCACAGGTTACTTTAGAGAGTTACTTTAGACAGAGCTCTGTGTTGACTTTCTTCGTCCACATTAAAGTAGGGCCCCCAGCACGTGGGGAGGCTGAGGTGCAGCACGTGGCTTCCCTGGCCAAGCTGGGAGAGGACAGGCTGAGGCAGTGGCTCTGGAGTCAGGAGACTGAGCTGCTGAAGCGCCTGTTGGAAGTGTTACTGGAGCAGCAGACTACACAGCTAAAGGTGTTGGAATTAAGAACATCTGTTTTATTGCTGTCTTTTCTCACTTGCAAAGTAAAGAAGAGAGTTTTATTTTCAGTTGATACGGATATGCAAAATTAAAACAAAAAATAAATATTGTCATTGTCTTAGGAACTGAGATATATTTAGACAGCTTTTTTCATGCATTCTTTTGTTTAAACTTGTTGTTAGCACACTTCTTCTGCTAAGAAGTTGTAACCAAATACATTAGATCTGAGGAAAGTATGAGCCTTTGACTCCTCGCTGTGCTTTGTCCTGTGAATTAGCAGCAGCCACATCAAGGCTTTCTTTGCTTTAATGAGACTGTTTGCCTGGAAGTGATGACTGTGCAGGATGAGCGAGCACTCACAACATTACTTTTCATGAAGATTTTTACTCTGAGTTTGTTTATGTCTTAATAACAGCTTTGTCGAGATATAATTCGTATACCATAAAATTCACTTTTTTAAGGTGTACCATTCCGTGGTTTTTAGTATATCCATGGTGTTGTGCAACATCACCCGTATCTAATTCCAGAACATTTTTATCACCCCAGAAGGAAACCCTGTACCCATTAGCTGTCACTCCCCATTCTCCCTTTTTCTCCAGCCCCTAGCAACAACTAATTTGCTTTCTGTCTGGGTGGATTTGCCTCTTCTGGACACTTTGTATAAATGGATAAAATACGTGGCCTTTTGTGTCTGATTTCTTTCATTTAGCATGTTTTCAAGATTCATCCACGTTGTAGAATAAATCAGTGCTTGCTATTTGTTTTCTGTATGTCTCAAGTCTTCTTTGTTCCTCTTTTTGTTTTAATTCCTCTGTTGTTTATTTTACTATATATATTTTTTATTTTTTTAGTTCTTGTCCTGAAGACTATAATTAATATCTTCTAATAATCTGAATTAATACCAACTAAATTTCAGTAGTTTATAAACACTATTTTCCTATATGCCTCCATTCCCTCCTCCCTTCTTTGTGCTAATAGTGTCATTCAAAGTACGTCTTTATACATTTTATGCCTTTTGCTTTATGCAGTTGTCTTTTAAATCAGATAGGAGAAAACAATTACAAACAATAACTACATTTATACTGTCTTTTATATTTACCTATGTAGTTATGTTTATCAGCATTCTTTATTTCTTCATGTGGATTCAAATTATTGTCTAGTGTCCTTTCATTTCAGCCAGAAGGGACTCCCTTTCGTATTTCTTGTAGCCAGGTCTGCTAGTGATGAATTCTGTCAGGTTTTATTTATTTGGAAGTGTCCTTATTTCTCTTACCTGTTTGAAAGTTAGTTTTGCTAGATATAGAATTCTTGATTAATAGTCTTTCAGCACTTTGAATATGTCGTTCCACTGCTGTTAATTTTATTGAGGAACTCTTGTACATGATTAGTTGTTTCTCTCTTGCTGCTTTCAAGATTCTCTGTTTGTCTTTCAGCAGTTTGATTATGTGTCTAGGTGTGAATCTCTTTGAATTTATCCTGCTTGGAGTTTGTTGAGCTTCTTGTATATGTATTAATTTTTTTCATGAAATTCCAGAAGTTTTCAGCCATTATATCTTCAAATATTTTTTCTGCCATCTTCTCCTCCTGGGACTCCCATTATGCACGTGTTGGTACACTTGATGGTGTCCCAAAGTGTTTGAGGCTCTGTTCATTTTTCTTCATTCTGTTTTCTTTCTCTTTCTCAGACTGGGTAATCTTAGTTGATCTCTCTTCAAGTTGCTGATTCTTTCTCCTGCCTGCTCATATCTGCAGTTGAGCCCCTCAAGTGAATTTTTCATTTCAGTAATTATGCTTTTTAGCTCCAGAATTTCTATTTGGTTTCATTTTATAATTTGTATCTCTTTATTGATATTCTCTATTTGTTGAGACATTATTCTCCTGTTTTCTTTTAGCTCTTTGTCCATGGTTTCCTTTAGCTTCTTAACCATATTTAAGACAGTTAAAGTCTTTGTCTAGTAAATCCAATGTGTCTGCTTCCTTAGGGACATTTTCTGTTAATTCCTGAAAATGGACCATACTTTCTTCTTTGCATGCTTCATAATTTTTTGTTGAAAACTGGACATTTTGATTATTATAATGTGGTAATTCTGGCTATCAGATTTGCCTCCTCTGGTAGGTTTGTTGTTATCGTTGCTTGCTGTAGATGTTGTTTGTTTAGTGACTTTGCTGAACTAATTCTGTACAGTCTGTATTCTTTGTCATGTGTGGCCACTGAAGTCTCTGCTTGGCTAGCTTAATAGCGAGCAGTTAGAGATTTCCTTTAATGCTTTGAACCAGTAAATCTCCCACCTCTGCCAGTGGGCTCTTATGAGCATGTCGGGGCATGTCTTCAATGCTGTGGCAGGCAGTTTTACAACTCTGTCTTAGCCTTTACTTTCTACTTGCAGGGAGCCTCATGGTCAACTGGAAGTGAGACCTTAGTGCCTTCTCAGGTCTCTTCTGTGTATATGCACAGCCTTGCACGTGTCTGCGGCTTTCTAGATTCTCAAGAATATGTCAGGGTTTTCAAAACCCCCCAATGACCATCTCGTTCCCTAGTTTTTCTTTTTAAGTTTTTTGGTCAGCCTCTTGTTATTCCTGACTGTTATTACTACCTCAGGCAACTGCAGTGTTAAACAATTGCTGTTGATTGTTTTTGACAAATATCCTAGGATAGGATTGTTCACACAGAAGGAGCTCTGAGTCAGTTCAAATAAGGAAGAGCTATGAGAATAGAGCTTTTTAGCGAGCTGCCAGAAAGGTCAATGAGTGACAGTTCCCTGGGACTAGGGCTTTTGGGGAGCTCCAAATCCATTCTGCCTCCTCCAGTGGCTGTTAGGTTTTCATAGCTACCATAGTTGCAAGGCTGTTGATTTTCAAGGTTATCATAGAGATGGGGAAAAGGGAGATAGGATTAGGGCAAGTTAAAATGCCCCAAAGCTTGCTGCTCTTACGGAAATTCAGCCTTTTTTTCCCCCAATAAACACTTCTTGGAATGCTGCAAGCCTTCCTTAATCCAGAGCTCTGAGAAAGTTATGACAGTTTCTGCAGTGTTCTCATTGCATTTATGGAGGGCACAGGTTTCTGGAGGTCCTTACTCCATCGTTCCGGACTTGCTGCCTCTAGCTTTTTCAAACAAACTTTTTTCATTAATATAAGTTAATTCATTTAGGTAAACCTTTTTAAAAACTTTTTTTATTATTTAAGAAGAGTGTTTATCTTTTAAAACTGAAGGAACCTAGATTTCTAAATCATCTTGGATTTTCACATTTATGGTCTTCTGATGGTGAATTTCTTGAAGTGACCGTTTAAATTTACCGGAATCGCCATTGAGGAAAGGCAGGAAGCTGTTGTTTATCACACGAGGTTGTCGTCAGTACCGAGTTCCGTCTTCCTTAGTGTGTTGTCCGACACTTGGGTTTGTTGTACATTTATGATGAACCTACTTGAATGCCTGTTTGCTGTGGCTGATGGTCTCGGTTTGTTCAGTTGCCCATCTTGGCACAGTACAGGGACTCAGTATATATTGTCTGATGAACTAAATTCTAAGAAACAGCAGAGAAATGGAATAAGCATAATTTTCCAGCTTAATGGTATTTTTGTTATTAATGTACTTTGTACAGAGTGAGCTTGAAGAGAAAGCTGCTCTGCGTGAAGAGGAGGAGGTACGTGAACGTGACAGCGAGCAGGTCCAGTCTCCTCACGAGAAGGAGGAAGCGTCCCTGTCTCTGCAGCTCCAGGAGAAGGAGCACCACATTCAGCAGGTGCGTGCAAATGTGATTTTCCTTCACTGCTTTTAAAGATACGGATGTATCTTCTACTAGTTTTAGAAGAAGTCCACTATATATATATATCTTTCAGAGCTGTAAGTATTACAGGCCTTTGCCAAAGATGTAGCAGTCTGCTACTTTCTTTCTCTGACTTCATCTTCTTTCAGGATCATTGGATTCAAGCTTAGGAATAAAATAATCAGAGTTTTAGTTTGCTTGTGAATGACTGTCAGGCACTGTGCTAATCAGCAGGTATAGAATTTTCTTCTTTAACAGCCTCTCCTCCCTATTGTACAGGTGCTTCAGAACACTGAGGCCCTAGAGAGGGTCCATGAATTTGCCAAAAGTCCACGGCTACCAGGTGGCAGAGCCAGATGTGTCTGGCTTTAAACACTGCACATGGGTGTGTCAGACCTAATTTAATAGGCTATAAAAATTATAATCCCAATGATCAGGGAAGTGTGTGTCTACAGTGGTAAGTGATCAGCATTAGGTCAAAGCGCATGCTCCTAGCTGCAGAAGCCTCTCCTGCCCTGGAAGCCAGGCTGGGCACCGTCTGAGACCACTTTCAGCTGGGAGAATGAAGGGGAGCTGTGGAGCGAGGGGGAAAGTGTGCCAGGCCTGAGAGTTAGAGGCCATGCTACCCTAACCTGGTGGGGATTTCACGAGGGAGAGAGGGCCTCTCATGGTGTTTCTCAAATGTTTTCTTCAAAGTATCAGGCATTTCTGCTGTGAGACAATGTATGAACTTCTGAAAAACCTCTTATTCTGTAAAATCACATACTAAAAACAATATGGGTCATGGGCAAAATAAGGTTAGAGGTACACCATTCAAAACCTATGCAGCTTTATAACTCAAGTACCAACAAAAACAATAACAGTCCTAATAGAGATATTAGCACAGTTAAAAAGAAACATTAAATTCTTAATTAACTTGTAAAATAAATATAGGTAATTAGCTTTAAAAGGGACAAATGATGGCTTGCTGGAAGGAGGTATAATAATGGGTGACTCTTAAGGAGAAAAGGCAGACTGCACAAAAATGGGACAAGGCCCATGGTTAACGCTTGGAGATTGAGCCTTGTGAAGATGGTGCCCACCCCAGAGGACCTACTTGGGGAGTGGGCCTTGGGCCTGGAGCTCTTCCTGCTTCCACTGCGTTCAGAAAGCTGAGCTTTCCGTGGCTCTCACCTGATTGCCCAGAGCATGGATGTGCAGGAGGGAACCCTCCCCCAGGAGCCCCTGGGGAGCTCTAACATCATTCCCCCGTTTGCCAGAACCTGCGATGTGCGCTATGGTCAGACGGGGTCCATAACTGCAGAGAAGAATGAACACTGGTTTAGGCAAACCAGGCTCTTTAAATAAAAAACTCTCTTAGTTTGAAATAATCATACAAGTTCCTTTAAAATGTACTGTGTTCAGTTAAAAGAACATGAAAGAAGTCATTGTGGCCCACCATCCTCTTTAAGTACCGTGAAACACCCCTGAGTGTCACTCTTCGATCTCATACCCCTCCTTCCCTGACACAGGTTAAGTTTTTAATCCACATGGAAGTGTTTGAGGTTGAGGAGTTGATTAAATTTTTTCCCATGTGGATTAACCAAGACCCCTGTATTGAGTCCGTCCTCTGCAGCTCTCAGTGCTCAGTTGATCCGTGGGTCATGGATCACACTCTCATGCATGTGTGAGTGCTCTCTGGCCATTCTCTTATCTTCCTTTGTTCAGTTTGTCTATCCCTATTCAAATAACCATGCAGTCCAAATGGCCCTAAGTCTTGATGTTTTGTGGCGAAGTTGCCCATACTTGTTTTTCATGAGGTTGTTGCAATTGCTGGCCATTTACTTTTTTATATAAATGTTAGGATCAGCTTGTTAAATTCCCCAAGAATCCCTGCTGATATTTTTGTTGAAATTGTTTTGGATCTATAGATTCCTTTGGGGGGAACTAACATCTTTAGAATATTGGGCCTTCTATCTCTTTTTACTTAAGTCTTCGTTAATTTCTGTCAGCTTTATAATTTTCTTCATGACGGTAGTATCTTTTCTTAGATTTTTATTTAAGTACTTGACATTTTTACTTTCTATTGAATTGTACTTTCAAGCTGATTATTATTGGAATATAGAAATGCAGCTGACTTTTGTGTACTGGCCTTAATGGGAATGCTTTCAAAACTCTACTGTTAAGAAATACTGAGAAAATTGTATTTTTTTTTTTTTTTAAGGTTAAGGAAGCTTCCTTCTCTGACTTATTTGTGAGGGATTGTTATCATGAATAGATATAAATTTTATTTGCTTTTTCTGCATTTATTGATATTAATGTTTTTATCATTTAATCTGTTAATGTGGTGAATCACATTGATTTTTCTAATATTGAAACAACTTATCTTTGAGATGAAATCCAGTTTGGACATACTTTTCATGTATTGCTAGATTTGATTTGCTAATATTCTATTTAAAACTTTGCATCTGTGTTTTTCAGTGTGATTGACCTGTAATTTCCTTTTTTTTTTTTTTTGACAGTCCAGCCTCATAAAAGAAATGAGGAGTATCCCTATCCCCATCCTTTTTGTACTCTATGCAGGAATTTGTATAATGTCTGTTCCTTGAATGTTTAACAGAAACATTTAAAGTGAAGGCTCTCTGGGCTTAAAGTTTTCTTTGCTGGAAGATTTTAAAGTACCAATTAAATTTTTTAAATGTTAATAGGACTGTTTACGTTTTCTATTTCTTCTTTACTCAGTTTTGTTAAGTTGTTTATTTTGCTTCTTTTTTTCTTGAGCAGTTTTGCTAGAGGTTTATCTATATTATTAGTCTCCCCCCCCACCCCAATTACCAAGTTTTAGCATTTTGGTACATGCTGCTGTATTTTTAATATTTTTTATTTTCTTTGGGTTTATTCTGCTCTCCTTTAACTTGTAAAATTGGATGCTTAGCTGTTTAATTTTAAACATATATTTTTTAATGTGTATGCACTTAATGCTGTAAGTTTTCCTTTAAGTAATTCTTTAGATGCAGATCATATTTTCATCATTAATTTTTTATCCCATGTGTGTTTCAGAAATATATTTTTCAAGCTTGAGTTTTTTCTTTACTCTTTCATTAATTTCTAATCTCATTGATTCTGGTTAGAGAAGGGGTGCTGTCTGATACCGAGTTTTTTAAATTTTCATGGTCAGTGTTCCTAAATGTTCTGTGTGTGTATGAAAAACAGTAGGGCTTCCTCCAGTTGTTATATGATGCTTTATCTATGCACTTTCTCTCACACTTGTTACTTGTACTGTTCAAATCTTTAATATTCTTCTTTAAATCTACCTGCTTGATGAGTTGCTGGTGGCAGGGGTTAAGATCTAGCACTACAATGTTGAATTTGTCAGTTTATCTTGTAGCTCTGTCAGCTTTTTATTCCATTTATCTTGGAGCTATCTATTTGGTACATTCAACTTTATGATTATCATACCCTCCTGGTGAGGTAAACCTGTTATTGTTACGTGCTCCATGTGAGTCCTTGAATAAAGGAAGTTCGTCCCAGTGTAATGTTGTCTAAATGTGCTGTAGCTTCTCCATTTTGAGTCCATCCTTCTTGGTCAGATGCTTTTGGGCTCCTCCTCAACGATGTTGAACTAGAGGCCTCCAGCACATGAAGCTTGTAGGCAGCCATGGCTGGGGAGAGGCATCCCCACCAAGTGCATGCGTGGTGATGCTCGGTCACGTCTTCTTTGCTCTTTCATCTTCTGTGAGGATGAGGCCTGTGTTCATGTCAGTAAATGCAACCAATTCAGAGAAATCTGCCACTGGTGAGTAGATTGAGGTAGAGACACTTGGATTACGGGGCTGAGGTTGCTCTCTTGCTCGGAAGAGACACTTGTCACTCTAAGCTGCACGACGTTACCACCAGGGTTGGTGGCTGCTTCCCAGTGAGGTCCTGGGGACCCCGTGGTAGCAGGTGACACTGGGACAGTTGATGCCACCTGCCCGCCTGGCCCACACTATGAAGACACCTAAGGTGTTGGCTTATTTTTGTTTTCACAGAGAAGTATGTAAGAAGGATGTTTGCCTGCCTGGCAGCTAGTTTTTATTCTGAATGACCAGATGTAGGGATTTTATTTTAAGTTATTATTAGTGAGAATAATCTCTGGTGAATATGCTCCTCTCTCCCCCTCAGCGTCAAGGCTGGGATGGAGTTATTTAAGTATTTTTTTTTTTTGTAGGTGATGAATAATGGAGGAAAAACTGTATTAATAATTTTCACCTTTAATCACCACGTTATTAATCTTTTGCCATATTTTTGTTAAACATAATCATGGAAGTTCATTACAGCAATTTATTTAAATTGTTTTAACTAAAACTCAAATATTTTTTCTCAATAGCTGAAAGATCAGATTACATCCTTAAGTAACGAGATCGAAGAATGTCATTCTGCACTTGAGAAACTACAGCAAAGATGTGAACGAGAAAACCAGGAAGGCGCAAATCTCATATCTGTGTTGAAGTCCGATATTGATTTATCTTACAATGAAAGGTCAGTGCCTCCACACCTCGTCACCAGTGGCGCCATCACTGCTGCTGCGCCCAGGCTGGCTTCTGGTGTCTGCTGGGCAGTGTGTATGCAGTTTTGGTTTTTCTGCTCCACTCACTCCTGGGCCTTTTAACATAGGAAAAAAAGTACTAAATAGTGTACCAAGACCTGTGCACTTAACCACCTAGCTTTGCCTAATCTTAACATTTTACCAAATTAAAAAAAAATTATCCTCTTGTTGAAGCCCTTGCTGTTTACTTCTCAGTCCCACTCACCTCCTGCCCTCCCCAGAGGCCGATCCACCAACTTCATCGATGTCTAATAGTTCCATAATGTGATTTCATCCTCACTACATAGATGGGGGTCTAGTAACATCTATTTTAAAGTCTATTTGTCTGGTATTAGTGTAGCCACTCCAGCTTTCTTGTGGTTGCTCTTTGCATGTTATTTCTTTTTTCATGCATTTACTTTCAATCTGTTTGTATCTTTGAATCTGAAGTGTGTCTCCTTGTAGGCAGCGTATAGTTGGATCTTTTTTTTTTTTTAATCCAGTCTGAAAATCTCTGCTTTTTGAATGGATTGGTTAATCTGCTCCCATTGATTGTTTTTATTGAGATGGTTGGACTATGCCTAACATTTTACTTCGTTCTGTGTGTCTCATGGATTTTTTGTTTCTCCATTTGTCCTTACTGCTTTCTTTTAAATTAAAGGAATATTTTCTAATGTAGCCTTTGAAATTCTTAGGATTTTTTCACTATGTTTCTTGAGGTTTTTTTTTAATTTTTTTAATTTTAGTGTTTGCTTTAGGGCTTACCATATATGTCTAAACTCATCAGAATCTGCTTAAGATTTATGCTAGCTTAATTCCAGTGATACATAGAAATGTTATTCCTATATGGCTCTACTCACTTTCTCCCCTTTTTGTGGTATTACTGTTATATTTTTTTAATCTATCAATGTTACAAACTCAGCAATATGTTGCTCTAATTATTGCTTTACTGTCTATAGTTGTTTCCTTAGCCCAGTGTGGCTTTGTTCCCTCTTACCTTCTTTGTGCTGTTATTGGCACGTATATTATCTAATATTACAATTCTGTGTTATAGGCTCAACAGTACATCATAGACATATAATTGCTTTTAAATCGATTTTGAGAGATAACTTGTTGGATGTGGGATTCTTGGTTGACAGTTTTTCCCTTGAGCACTTTGAATGTGTCATTCCACTGCCTCTAGCCTTCGTTGTTTCCGCTGAGAAGTCAGCTGTTAATCTTACTGAGTGCCCTTATAAGTGATGAGTTGTTTTTCTCTTGCTGCTTTCCATATTTTCTCCTTGTTTTTGAGTTTCAGCGTTTTTACTATGATGTGTCTGTTTGTGACTCTTCCTACATTTATCCTATTTGGAGTTCATTGAGCTTCTTGGATATATAAGTTACTGTTTTTCAATAAATCTGTGAAGTTTTCAGTCATTATTTCTTTGAATCCTTTTTCTTTTTATTTCTCTCTCCCCTCTCCTTCTGGTACTCCCAATGTTCTCATATGTTGGTGCACTTACTGGTGTCGCAGACTTTCTGATACTCTTTATTTTTCTTCATTTTTTTTTTTCCTTTTTGTTCTTTGGCTTGCATAATCTCTGTTGTTCTGTCTTCAGGTTCACAAGTTATTTTTCTGCCAACTCAAATCTACCGTTGAATTCTGTGCTAGTATTTTATTTTCCAACTCCAGAATCTTCATTTTTTCCCATAACTTCTATATCTTTATTGATATTCTTCATTTAATGTGATATTATCATACTTTCCTTACTTCTGTAATTATGGTTTCTGTTAGTTTTGTGAACATGTTTATAATGGTACCTTAACTTTTTTTTTTTTAAATCTGATATCTGATCGATGTAAAAGACAGTTTCAGTTGTCTGCTTTTTTTTCAGTATATGGATGATACTTTCCTGTTTCTTTGCGTATCTCATAATTTTTAGTTGTAAACTGAACGTTTTAGGTAATGTATTGCAGTGACTTTGCGTACTGGTTCCTCCCCTCCTGGGGCTTGTTATTGCTACTTGCTGTTTAGTTTTAGTGACTGGCTGGATTATTTTAGTGAATTCAGGCCACTCCCGTGGATTTCTAAGATCAGTGTTTGATATTTATTCTGACCTTCGGAAGGCTCTCCTCAGCTGTTTTATTCCCTGGTTCTCTCCTGCACACTACTAGCCTACAGTCTCCACTTTGTCTTCACTAAGTCCATGAATCTCCTCCCATATGTATTTCATCACAGCTTCCACTGTTCTTGAAAGTGCCCTTAGGCTGGAACTTCTCTAGGCTCAGTTGCAGATAAAGTCACTTCTTTTGGGAAGAGATTAGGAGCAATCCGTTTTTCAGCCTGCTTCCCACACTGGCCACCAGGGAAAATCTCAGAGCCAGGGCTCTGGACCTGGACATAGGGACAGTGTAAGCTTCTGAGTATCACCCCCTACTCTAAGAGCTGAGCCCTCAGTGGAGGGAAGGCAGCATCCTGTGGTCCTCTGGCTTGCCTCTCCTGGTACAGAACCCATGTCTCATGATCTGGGTGAGGGCGATCAAGGCCCTAGTATTCTCAGTGTGCTCCTTGAGCCCCCACCTCTTGGATGCATTCACCTAGGACTTGGCCTCAGCAACAGGCAGCGGAAGGGCAGGATGAGAAATGTGGGCATCCTGCATCACCCAGGCGGAAGCCCTCTGGCCGGGAGCTGGAGAGAGAGGAACCCGTGTTTGGCTGCGGCTATTTGGAGAGGAGTCTTCTTCTCACTGAGCTGGAAGGGGAAGGGAGGGAGTGGTGTTGGTTCAAATACCATAGAGTCTTACCTTTCTTATCGAATTTTTGTAGGTATTCTTGAATAGGTGTTTCTTCATCTGCTTCTGCCCTTAGGACCATTTCCAGAGGTTTTATATGGCTGGGTTTTTTTTTTTTATTGTTAATCATTTTTCCCTGTTTCCTGGGGAGCAGGTCTGTGGAACCCCTTGCGCTGTGGTGCTGAAGGTTGTCTGCCCGTGCATCAGAGCATGCATGGCCTGTGTCTCCAGCGGTGTCTCGTGATCACTCCCACCACACCTGCCTGCGCTGTGCGTCCGCAGCCAGCACCCACTTTGATTGGCGTTGTCCCCTGAGTCTTCGTGTCCTCCCCCTCAGGAACGCGCTCCAGGATGCCCTCAGAAGGCTGCTGAGCTTGTTTGGAGAGACGCTGAGGGCTGCGGTTGCCATGAGGAGTCAGATCAGTGAGCGTGTGGGGCTCTGTTTGGACGATGTGGGGGCCACTGATACAGAGAGCCTGCCCGAAGTGTGGCCAAGCGTTGAGGTCCTGTGTGCAGGTGATTGCACAGGTGAGCATGCAGGTGAGCACCCGGCGCCTTCTCCTGTTGGTTTCTTCTGATCGTCTGAGTGGCTGCGTTTGGAGTTCACTGTGGGACAAAGGTCACCTAAGTGGTTAATCGCTTGTTTGGCTCAAAGGAGGGGCATGTGTGTGAGGCAGGAATGCTTCTTTCCTAGGTGAGCATTGTGTGGCCTTCTGAGAAGGGCCCCAGAGAGCTGGTGCTGTCGGGTGCCTGTGAGTCTTGCGGGGACCTATGCCTGCAGCTTTCCGGCCCCTTTAGGGTGCTGCAGACCAGCTGAGAAGCAGGGGCTGCCGGGACTGCTCCCTGGGGGCATGGGCTGGGGTGCTGTGGGCGGCCTTGGGCGGGCTGTTGGTGGGAGGAAGCTGTTGCCGGGGCTACTTCAGGGGCTGGCCTGGAACAGCATTGTGGCCGTGACGAGAACTGCTGTCTCCTCATCTCCCCCTGCTGACCACACTGGAGGAAATCATTCTTTAAGGACATCCAAGGCTCAGGAATAGTGGAGGCTTCCCAGCTCCTGTGCAGTGTTCCTTCCTGATGGGCAATCGTTCTTAGATTCTCTGTGCCCTGATTAATGTGGTTTGCTTATCACCTTGAAGCTGCTTTTGGGGGTTGGCTCGCTCACTGTGCAGTGTGTGCAGTGCTCTGGGTGTGGTCTTTCTGCAGCCCCCACACTGGATGAGGCCCTGCCTGGGTTCAGCACAGCTCCGCTAGAGCCTGACGGGACGCCGCCCGAGTCTGCGGAGGCATCGGCTGCGGCCGAGATCAGCAGTCATGTGTGCGAGAGCTTCTTTATGAGCCCAGAGGCCACGCTGGAGTACGAGCAGCCGGTCAGGAAGGTCTACCAGAGCCTCCGAGTGGCCGTGAACAGTCTCCTAGAGATGGCCCTGGACTCCAGCAGACAGGTAAGGTGCTGCGTGGAGGGGCCTCCCTACACAGTGTTGTCTGAACATGGGCGAGTCTGCCTCCAGAGGGGGTCGCAGACAAGGTGCAGGCTCTGTTGGCATCGTGTCTGGCCTGGGCCCCAGGCTGGGGGTGGTCAGCACGTGCTTCCAGGGTGGGGTTCCCTTCCACCCCTCCGCCGCCGACATCTGGGGGCAGAGACTCTGCTGACGTTTCCAGGGCTCATCAGCCTTCCACTGCTAACATTGCTTTTACACACATTTTCCTTCAGGAGGAGGTAGGCTTCCTAGGAATGACAGACGAATCTTGGTTTGTTTAATTGAGGTAATACATAAATCAGCTCCATGCTCTGTTGCAGTTTCACACTGAGTGTCTTTACCTTTAGAAATTGTCACTGTGGGATTTGATTTTGTTAACCTTTCTGGAATATTTTCGACAATTAGGAAAGAAGTTGAGTAAGAATTTGTGCAGAGTGATGAAGTAAGCAGGAGAGCCTTTTCTCTGGAGTCAGGCCAGGGAGAGGTAGCCGTGTCTCCGGGAGGCGCTGTTGTCTGGTCTGCAGAAGCCCTGGCGGGTTTTCCCTCTGTGGCGGAGTCAGCGCAGCCCGCTGCGGGTTGCGGTTTTGAAATTGAGGTTTCTTTGCCTTGTTTCCTCCCACTGCCTTCCCTGCACCATTTCCCCTTCGTGCCCTCCTCTCCTCTGCTCACCCCATTCTCGCCTCAGAACTCGGGCATCCACAGCACCCAGATGTGCTAATGTCGTGACACTGGAGCGCCCCTTGCCCCGTGTGCTCGGGGGGCTGAGTGAGGGTGGACTTGTCCTGGACATGAGCTGCTGTCAGCCTGCTCTGTTCATACAAACTGCCCCGTGCAGCGCGAGCCCCCCAGGGAGGTGGCTGCACAGACGTGGGGAACGTGAGGGGATGCGGGATATGGCAAGAGAGGGGGCCGCAGAGGGGTGCAGGG